ACTACATGGTCTCTTCAACGCTCCCGTCGCTTTGGTTTATGGGTGTGGGTGGTTTGGGTCGGGTGTGGATGGTTGACGGGTATGAACGGACTCGGCAAGGCAAGATCTGTACACAGAAGCATGATCAACATCTGGAAGTCAGGACAATTTAGTATACAAACCAAGTTAAAGCTGTATAACAGCTGTGTACTATCCACACTCCTATATATGGAGCTGAATGCTGGAGGATGACTGATCATGACCATGCCAAGCTATCTTCCTTTCATACAACCAGCTTACGCCAAATCCTTCGAATCTTCTGGCCCGACAAGATTTCCAACGCAGATCTTTTTCGGAAATGTAAGCAAGAGGACATGACTACCATAATAACAAGGAGAAGAGGGAGATGGATTGGGCATGTTCTGAAAAGAGAACCAGACTCTATTGTAAAGACTGCCCTCCACTGGACACCCGAAGGACGTCGCAAGAGGGGCAGACCCAAAATGACCAGGAAACGCACAGTAGAGTCTGAAATGAAGTCCTGGAACCATTCGTGGGGAACCCTTACCAAGATGGCCCAAAACAGAAAGAGCTGGAGATCCTTTGTTGCTGCCCTAAACGCCAGATGGCGAAACGGGTAGTAAGTGGTTGGCGGGTGCTCTGGTGCTTCTTCTTTCCTATAAATCTCTCCTCCTTTTTTAATGTTTGTTACTCTCTTGTAACACCTCTAATCTGCGGCACTTATATGACCTTATTGTGTTGCAAGTGCCGTAAAACTCTTACTAAAACTAAAACTTTGTGGGTGGTGTCAGAGGGCACCACTTGTTTTTAATGAATGATGACATATTTCTTGTTTTTGTGTCGTTTTTTTTTTTTTGGAAGTGTTTTACGGTGCTGCAACTTCATAAGGTCATATGAGCCCACGGGACACATTAAAAACATTTTCAGTTAGTAGGAAATTTTGAATTTTGCCTGTGTGGCGGCCGAATCCTACTCTGATCGATTTTGGACCACTAAGGCATCTTTAACGTCTTCCACTTGCTCACGGGAGCGAGATTTTTCGCCCTTATCTGAGAAGGCTAGGTGTTAGATCTAACCAACCATAAGATCAGTATCATCAGGGGGTATGACTGAAAGATGGCAGTAAGAAGGAGCAAAGGAGTAGCAGTTGAAAGGCTGCAGAAAGAGTAAGGAGCCCAAAGGAGATGATGGGGTGGGGCAGAAAGTGGATGCAAAAGCAGACGACAGAACATTGTTAGAGAGCAGGAAGGGATAAGAAAGGAGACAATTTTTAAAAAGAAAATTTTCAATCTCTATCCGGATTCGAACCTGGGACGTATTGAATAAGGGGCAAACACCTTAACCTCTAGACCACGAGAGCCCATTTTGGTTTTTTTGTCTTACTTTGTCCAAGCACTGTGCGACCCACCAGGGATGCCACTCAACTTATTTTTAAAAAGCTGAAAATCCACGCGCCACGGTCTCGCTAAAATATGAATATCAATTTGGAACCCCAATTTTTTTTTCCACCTATAGATTCTATCTGGATCTCAATGGCGGACCAGGATCAAAATACTAGAAATACCGAGAAAAAGGGGAAAAGTGACATCCCTGGATGAATGTAATGGCACTTTTAGTTTTAGTTAAGAGTTTTACGGCACTTTCAACACAATAAGGTCATATAAGTGCCGAAGACTGGATGTGTTACAAGAGAGTGAGTAACAAATACAAAGGAGGAAAGATCAGGACGATACATGTTTGATAGGAAAGACGGAGCAAACCACACCAGAGCACCCACCAACCACCCACACACTCCCAAATGACATAAATTGTGTTGATGGGAGGTGTGCGAAATATAAAATACGTAACTGCTCCGTGTAAGTCTCCATCATACGTCAGTTTAAAAAAAAAAATGGCATACAGCATAGCCTTACACTCAGCATTCGATTCCAGCTGATGATGGAGACAATCTGCCTACCAACACTGAAATGGACCCTCATGAAGAGGGGCAATGGAGCATGGAGCACCCCGTCTTCCTAGGACCCCAGTTCAACATTCAAGTAATTCAACTAAGCAGTTGATATGTTTGCCAGGATATGTGTCATGATGCAGTGGAATCAGGCACTCATCAATTTTGGGGCATATGGAGTTATTGGTATTATTTTAAAGTCAAAGCATGTCCAAATTGTATTGCTTCCAATTTAAAAAATGTATCCATCTATCTCCAATAGAAGTGTCGAGATATTTCCGTTTGAACGAGGTGAGGGTTGCTTGGTTTCAAATGTAAAATTAGAAAACGGCCACCAAAGTTTGGTGACGTCCAAAGATAGAGTCCTTGGAAACTGTAAATTTACTTTTTTAAACTTTTGTTCAACTTTTTTCAGTAAAAGCCATACAGGAATGTGTTTTTAAATGGACATAAAGGTGTTGATTCAAAAAATAAAATTTGATGAAAATTGCCAAATGGGAAGAAAAATACAGTTTCTTCTATTTCAATCAATATTTTGACGAGCGTCTGACTTCACCACGATGCCTCACATATTTTGTACAACTTTCACTTCTCTGGCAAATACACAAGCAGGAACAATTTCACCTAGCTTTGGACAAGGCAATGACCAGTGATTCATTCACAAATAAAACAAAAGACGTTGCTTAGCCAAGCCCTTTTATTGTAAAATGAAGTCTACAAGTAGTTTACAACAATAAAAGAACATGCAAAAGATTGTGGACATTTTTTTGCTCAGAAATATATGTCATAAAAAGTGACTTAATTTAAAAGACCAAACTAGAAAAATGAAAAGAATCAAAAATGTTCACACATGTAGGTATCTCTGCTGTGAGCAGGAACAAGTCTCTCAAAATCCAAAAGCAAGGAATCTTTAAAGTGAGAGGTGAACCCATTGCTGCCATCATAAACACGAGAGCTGCTGTATTTCTGCGTGTGTGTGAGCTTATACGTATACAAGATCTTTTTGGTGGAGATTTAACATTTGATCACCATTGCGATATAATATATGTCAAAACAAACTATACAGTTCAAAGACATATCAATTATCGTTTGAACTGAGACACATATATCTGCATTATAAGTGTCACTTTTCATAAGGCAGAGATTACAGCGTGGACTATATATACGCATTGACTGTACATTAAATACTAAATAGAAATAAACATCAAAACCCGAGCGGATCACTTGGTCAATGGGACAGAAGACGTAATTGTACACAGAACTTTGGGAGGGGAGGACAGGCCCGAGATGAGAAACTGTACAGATGAGATGATGAGATATCGGATCACTGAAGGCCACACAAATCCTGCTGATGATCGGGACAGAGAGTGCTGAGAAAATGGCGAGTTTGAGTAAAAATCAGAGGTGCATGGGAGGGAAGGATGCTTTGAGCTGCCAAAAAGGAATTTATTGATAGACAGAAGAATGTGAAGAAAGAAATGAAATGTGACAGCAGAGAGTTGGCACAACAACGACCACAGGGACAGATTCTGACAACAAACACAGGGAGGAAAGAGAAAAGGCAGACCACACCAGAACGCCGTGAGCCTTCAGCACCGTGAAGAAGAGGTGTTTGTCCATTCTGAGGGAAATAGAAGCAATATTTTTAAATAAGACAACAGCAAATTTAGGGAGAGCAAGAAAAGACATGACAGAAGCCAAAGAGAGATCAAGGAAGAAGCCAAAGAGAGATCAAGGAAGAAGCCAAAGAGAAGATCAATGAAGAAGCCAAAGAGAGATCAAGGAAGAAGCCAAAGAGAAGATCAATGAAGAAGCCAAAGAGAGATCAATGAAGAAACCACAGAAATCTAAACCACCATCACACTACAAAAGGTGATCACACAACTACCAAGATCAAAGAAATGTATCTCAGAGAGAATCTTCTAATAAAATGTACAGCTCCTATATCTCATGATATGCTGGCACTTGTACCAAGAGCCGACTCAAAATTATAATGTACAAAAGACGAAGGAGAGAACTGTTTAAGACAGAAGCATTGACACAATCATTATGATCACTCAATGCTTACAAAATGCAGGACAGACAGAAATGACAGAATGGAGAGAAGATGGAAGAAAATCCTTCCTCACGTAAGTCAACACAAACAGGAAGAAGTCCGATATGTGGTCAACAAACTACATCAGTCCACGAGGCTGACATTTTAGCTGCCGGTTGGTAATGTCCTAAAAATACTCTACACCCAGGGTCAGTAATGTCCTTGAAATACTCTACACCCAGGGTCAGTAATGTCCTTGAAATACTCTACACCCAGGGTCAGTAATGTCCTCGAAATACTCTACACCGAGTCCTTGCTCGAAAGTCACAGAAGTGTATATTTGCAAGGACAGAGACAGAGTGTTATTCTCCTCCATGTGAAGTACTGTGGCACAATGATGGAGTTATCTACTAGTTTAGTTTTAGTAGAGGTTTTACGGCACTCGCAACTGCATAAGGTCATAAGAGCGCCAGAAGATTAGAGGTGTTACAAGAGAGTAACAAACATAAAAAAGAAGAAGGGGAGATAAGGATGATAGATGTTTGATAGGAAAGAAGAAGCAAACCCCACCAGAGCACCCGCCAACCACCCACGGAGTTATCTACGCAGAAACAGAAACAAATAGAATTAATTACATCTGCTGGCAAAGAAAACTTCAAAAACTGGAGACATGAAATGTTTTCCTCTGCCCACCCTGTCCCCAGCCAGCTCTAGAACTTACTATACTAAAACCCAGCATGACTGCTTCACCTATATTGTGTGTGTGTGCGTGCGTGTATGTGTGTGTTTGGCATACATGTGTGTGCACATGTGTGCGTGTTATGTGTTCGCGAGTGTGTATGTTTGGCATACATGTGTGTGCACATGTGTGCGTGTTATGTGTTCGTGAGTGTGTATGTGTGTGTTTGTGTGTGTATGTGTGTGTGTTTGTGTGTGTGTATATGAGTGTGTGTATTGTGCGTGTGTGTAGCGGGCGTGAATATTGTTTGTACATGCATTTATGTAAAGCGCCTAGAGCTGTGTTTACACGGGAGTGGGCGCTATAGAAATGATCTTCATTATTATTATTATTAATATGTTGTTATCAATCCAGACCTATACTATACAAAGAGATCACCGGCACACCTGTCTGGGTCGGGTGTGTGTTTTACGCCCCTTTCAGCATAATGGCAATTTATGAGGCGGGACCTCGGAATGGCTGAAACAGTACCTGAACCTATCTAGCAGGTGCCTTTGAAAAAATATATCATTCTTTCCAGACCTCGGAATCAACAACCATCCCAATCCACGCTGCAACTGGGTGGGGGAAAAAATACTGGAAAACTTTATGAACAACTTTGATCTATTTACGGATAATGCAAGGACTTAAACCCTGCTGGCACGTGTGGTAAATGACCTGATATCTCTATAAAATTGAACAGGGCCAAGAAGCAGCTGCTATGAGTATCAGGAGTATGGAAAAAAAAAAGACCCAAGGAAATGAAAGACTATATCTATATATATATATATAACATATAATATGTACACAGTCATTACTGTTATATTGTCTAACGAAGTCTTCACATTTCTGTAGTACTATACAAACAGAGTAATGTCTAACGTTATGTCGGAGTATGCGATAATGCACTATAGGTACGTAAATGACTGTAACCATAAATATCTGAAACACACATGTCACTGATGGGAAATATTTCTAAACTAAAAAAAAAACATATTCATCAAACACACTACAAAAATACAAGTCAGCCTACCCAACCCAAAGATGGTACAAAAATCGGAAAGATTTATATTCCAGGATTGGGTTGTTGTTTTTTCTTCCTGAAAGGTAAAACATGGACAAAGCAAAGTCTCTCCAACAATCAGAACAGAGATTTTGATCATTAATCATCCAAAGAAACATGATTGTCAGACAAAATTTAAATCCCTCAAAAAATTATAAAATTGGAAGCTGAACATTTCCGCTGAATACATCACTTAACCACAGCGAGATTTACACCAGTGTCTTCTTTTGATTACAAAAATAATACGGATCATTCCATTTCATAAATGCTCAAAGCTTTCCAAGAGAGCAAACTTGGAGCACGAAGTGCCGGCTGTGCTGCGGTGCGCTGTGTAAAAACGTCTGTTCCTTGAGCTCAGTGGACGAGAGGAGAGGAGAAAAACCGGCTGGGTTTGGTCGGCTCACGCATCTTCACAGAGAACCTGGAACAAAGAGGGGGCATCATCATGTCAGGTTCATGGCAGTCTAGTTTTCATAAAAGAGTTTGACGGCACTTGCAACACAATAAGGTCATATAAGTGCCAAAGATTACAGTTTTAGATAGAGTTTTACTGCACTTGCAACACAATAAGGTCACAGTCATATAAGTGCCGAAGAATAGTTGTTACAAAAGAGAGTGTATGGCTCTTTTCGTCTATGCAGACGGTCCATTTTAGCTTAAGATGGTCTCAAGGTTGTCTAAAAGAGTAACATACACATCAAAGGAGGAGAGATAAGGACGATAGATGTATGTTTGATAAGAAAGAAGGAGCAAACCACACCAGAGCACCCACCAACCGTCCACCAAGTTCATGTCATGTCAAAGTTTGAGTTCACAGTAAAGAGAAACACATCCACACAATAATGGCCATCATATAGAGCATGGGGAAGAAGCAAGGCAGATCGACTTAACCCTATCGGTACGCCCTGGGGTCATTTTGTACCCCCGGGGTTGTATTCTTCACATTTAAGAATACTTCTAGTACAAAGATCTCTTTGAAACTTTCAGTATTTCTCAAAAAATCATTTTGACAGACTGCTATGCAAAGCGTACCGATCGGATTAACGAGTAAATTTCCTCTTTGAAAGTGGTGGCACAGAGTTCACCATGTCGTATGAATACGATAGTAAAACACGATGTACGGATAGGGTTAAGTGGGGGCACAGAGTATCCATACGACGTGGAGAACTCTGTGCCACTACTTTCAAAGAGGAAATTTACTCGTTAATCCGATCCGTATGCCTTGCAAAGCAGTTTGTCAAAATGATTTTTTGAGAAATACTGAAAGTTTCAAAGAGATCTCCGAACTAGAAGTATTCTAAAATGTGAAGAATACAACCCCGGGGGGCACAAAATGACCCCAGGGCGTACGGATAGGGTTAAGTAAGGTTTTACTGTGCTAGCAACTACATAAGGTCATGTGAGCGCCAAGGGGTGGATGTCAACAGAGAAGTCCAAACAGAGAATCAGGATTACTCTGCTCACCTCTTTAGCCTCAACAGCACAAAGTCTGCTTCGACTATCAAGGCACCCCGGAAATAGCCGTTCACAACAGTGTGACAAACATACAAAAGAAGTAGAGGAAAAAAGACGATAGTAAGGATTTGGAAAGAAAAAGGAGCAGTTCCCTGTTGCGGGTCAGGCACAGTCATGAGCATGACATTGCTGAATCAGCCCATTTACAATTTACATTTCTACTGTGCATAAGAACATGGTTAATGTCTCCCCTTTGGGAATGGCCTAAAGACACTTCAAGTCAGCAGCAGCACACCCGCCCCCCCCCCCCATCCCTCCGGACTACAAAAACTCTGGCTGAATTTTTTATTTTTATTTTAGTGCAGATGTTTTAACACCCCCATGGACATCAAAGCTCTAACTTGAAAGTAAAATAGGACCACAATGTTAGACAGTGCTGTTTCCTCAAGCAATAGGACACCTGACCAGACCATCAATGATTTATTTATAGAGGCACCAGCCATCCATGTCCAGGTGCTGTTTTAGCCTTTTTTTCCTGCATTCGAATTAATAATATCTTTTTGCCAATTTATTGATTCCGCTTCTATGTACCCCATATCTATGGTTCTCAACCTGGAAATCGCCTATAATTCGCAGTAATTGCCTCCTCCCACCCCTTCTCATCATCCCCCCCCCCCCCCAGCAATAGGACAGAAGAACAACATAAGTGCATCGCACCAACAACACCAGGGGCTGGCAGACCATGAAGAAGCTAGTACTGACAAGAAAATGTTTCCCTTCAAAAGTAAAAATACGTGTAAAAACTAAAATTTTCTATGACCCAGGAAAATACGTGTAAAAACTAGAATTTTCTATGACCCAGGAAAATATGTGTAAAAACTAACATTTTCTATGACCCAGGAAAATATGTGTAAAAACTAACATTTTCTATGACCCAGGAAAATACGTGTAAAAACTAACATTTTCTATGACCCAGGAAAATACGTGTAAAAACTAACATTTTCTATGACCCAGGAAAATACGTGTAAAAACTAACATTTTCTATGACCCAGGAAAATACGTGTAAAAACTAACATTTTCTATGACCCAGGAAAATACGTGTAAAAACTAACATTTTCTATGACCCAGGAAAATACGTGTAAAAACTAACATTTTCTATGACCCAGGAAAATACGTGTAAAAACTAACATTTTCTATGACCCAGGAAAATACGTGTAAAAACTAACATTTTCTATGGCCCAGGAAAATATGTGTAAAAACTAACATTTTCTATGGCCCAGGAAAATACGTGTAAAAACTAACATTTTCTATGGCCCAGGGCAGCGGGAAAGCAAGCACCTTCTGAGAGGTGCCAGCTACAAATTGGCTTCCAGCAGTCTCAACTGGAGAATGATTGCTCCGAGAACAGACACTTCATGGGAAGTACAACACAGTTTCAGTAAGAGTTTAACGGCACTTGCTACACAATAAGGTCATATAAGCGCCGGTACAATACAGAAAAACTATAATACGTATTTTACTTGATGAAACAAAAGTATCTAATTTTGACACATGACGTGCACGTATTTCAATGACATTTGTATTTTCTTCACTTGCCAAGCATACTCATTCATGTCTCAGTGTATTCGTGCTCGTGCCAACTACCAAAGCCAAATTCTGTTCGCAAAAATAAAAACTGAAATCATGTCATTGCATAAGAGTGAAGTCACGAAAAAGGAACCAAAGAAGCTACTAAAAACAAAAATGCGACAAGATGTGCAAGCAAAAAAAGGAAATCCCCAAAAAAGCATCTAAGCTTATAAAAAAAGGAACGAAAGAAGAGAAGCGACACTTTTTAGAACCCACGCTTTTTAGAGACAGAGTCAACTTTCAGCACAACAATATAAGGCGAAAGAAGAAAGCAAAACTTAAACAATATACAGGAAAAACCTCACTACTCTGTAAAAAAAAAAGATCATGTTTTACACCCCCATCAACACAACAGACAGATTCATCAAGAGTCAGGCTGTGTCTCAGACAGCGCTAACCCATGTGGAGTGGGATCCTGTAGTTAAAAAGGACAGTTTAGTTTCAGCGCTAACCCAAGTGGAGTGGGATCCAGTAGTTAAAAAGGACAACCCATGTGGAGTGGGATCCAGTCGTTAAAAAGGACAAACCATGTGGAGTGGGATCCAGTAGTTAAAAAGGACAGTTCAGTTTTAGTAGAGGTCTTACGGCGCTCGCAACTGCATAAGGTCATATTAGCGCCAGAAGATTAGAAGTGTTACAAGAGAGAAACAAACATAAAAAAAAGAAGGGGGGATAAGGACGATAGACGTTTCATAGGAAAGAAGAAGCAAACCACTCCAGAGCACCCGCCAACCACGCATTTAAAAGGAGAGTAACAAACACAAAAAAGAAGGAGAGAGAAAGACGATAGTTTTTGATAGGAAAGAAGGAGCAAATCACAGCATAGCCCCCACCAACCACCCACAAATAAATCTATACAGTTATAAAGTCATCACCAGAACTGCCACATTTCTCCAGGAAGCTGACTTTCAAAAATAAAACAGCAGGAAAAATGTAAAGAAAAAGGAGAAAGCCGCACCGGGACCGCGTAATAGTCAAAAGTTTTTTAAAAAATTAAAAATTCAGAATTGACAGTTGCTCCTCGAGGTAAAATTTTAAAAAACTGTGAGAAGCACGCTATGAACGTCCCAAAACACAATTGTCATGACTGTTCCGGCTTACTCATCGGAGCGATGCTTGTCTGACAAGCGTATGGACACTTCTTCTTTTTCCGGTTCATTTCTCTCACGTCTGACCCACCTATATATATATATATACAATGCCAAAATCTAGAGCTTGGCCCTTGTAGGCTACATACTTTGAAATCTCTTTTGGGTGTTATCGGTGGATTCTCCTTCTAAAACAAGAAATTCAATCACTGCTCTTCACCTCTGACAGACCCTCAAGAGGGTAGCCATTTTGAGGTGACGTCCTTCGGGTCAAAATCAAAAGAAACTTAAATTTTAACAATTTTGATTTCAAAAGTATATGAGCAAGTATTCGTGACCTGAATTTAATTAAATTTGATGCAAAATTGTGCAAAAATTTCCATTACTTTTTGACTCCCCCTCGTAGCTGCAACAACAACAGAGGGAATGATAAAAGGTAAAATATTGTACTGCTATACCGGCTATAATGAAACAGCACATGGGTATATGTTTCTTACGAACACACACACACACATGTGCACACACACGTGCACGCACACACAGGTGTAGATACCTCTAAGACGAGGAAGAGAGCACGGGCGAGTCGACAGCTACACTGCACTGACCGAACATCCCAGGTACAGAGGGGGCATCAATTTCCCTCTAGTGATTGGAAACAAAGGCCTGGAGTCCTTCAGATCTTTACTCATTGCCAGTTATAGTTAGTAGCAGTAGTAGGGGTGGTAGCAACAGTAGTTGTCAAAGTGAGTACTAGTAGTAGTGGCAGTAGAAGCAGTAGTGGTAGTAGCAGTGGTTTTTAGGCGTATGATCTCTTTAGTCAGGAAGTGGTTACAGTTAGACGCTGTTCAAGGAATGTTATCGGGGTGGATATAAGAGAAGCAAGCTCGGTTACACAGAGAGGGAGAGAGAGAGAGAGAGAGAGAGAGAGAGAGAGAAAGAAACATGAACAGGCTGCATATATGAGAACCAACATCATGATTCCAGACTTGAGAGTCTGGAGAAAAAGTCTACACCATGGCTAGAACAGAAGAGGCACTATACTGAAGTGGAAACTTGGAGCAAATATATGAAGAAAAAATTTATAGAAAATTCAGAGAGAAGGAACCTGTACCCATGGAAGAGAGAGAGAGTGGATGCTACACTTTATCCCCTTCCTCAAGTCAGCGTGGGGCAAAACATTTTGTAGTTATTCAAAAGAATTCAAGCAGATTTGGAAATACTCAGTTACTGTTGTGGTCGTACTCAAGAA